CCCCAAAACCCCAAAACCCCAAAACCCCAAAACCCCAAAACCCCAAAACCCCAAAACCCCGTACCAAATAAATTATTGACAATTATATAATTAACAATATTAAAATGAAGCCAATCATTATCCTTTTCTTATACATCATGATTGTTACAGCCAATATGTGCCAGAACAATGCTCAGACAGCCGGATCTCCTCTCTTTGGAAGTTTCGGGATAGCAGGTTATACATATGCCTATCTTTTGGACATTCTTGAAGATCAGACCAATGAATTACTCTATTTTATTGGATATTTTGTTTCAACTAGTCCATGGGACACAATTATCTACAAGTCTGACCCTGACCTGACCAAGGTGCAAGTGATGACTTATAATATCTATTGCAACGAGTTTTCGTACGCCTTATCTCCTAATAGCGACTTCATCTATATCCAAGATCGGACAACAGGAAAGATATTCGAGATCAGGACTGCAGACATGGTCATCTCCAGGGAGTTGTCTGTTAGTTCTACTTCGTTTTCTTATAATTCGCATATGGAAGTAAGCAAAGGCTTCTACTTCAGCTTCCTCCTCAGCTCGATCACGCACACTTGAAGATGGGACATGTCGAATACCAATCTCAACTGATTCACTTTCGGAGTAGATAAGCATACAAACTTTGCTTCAATTAGTGCAGATCTGCTTTTCTTCGGATCAACTGACACAATAGCTGATCAGTATTACCTTGTTAACTACAACTTCTCCTCCTCCGGCTTGGTCTGGAAGAAGAGCATTGCCTGTCCCACTTCAGGCTGAGTGAGCAAATACAGCACCTCTTTGCAGAGCAGAGATGAAGAGTGGGTCTACACGATGGTGCTGTATGATGATAACTTCATTTTCCACAAACTCAGCATAGCCGATGGGAGCCCCCAAAGCTCAGGGCTGATTTGGAATGATAGTGGGTATAGTAATAGTTATTGAATGGAAGAGTTCAGTGACTTCATTGCCGTTCATATTCGTACTTCTTCATTACCAAATTACAAAAGGTTAATTTTGATAACTCCCACAGAAACAGAAGTTGTGAAGGAATACAAATCAGTAGGCTCTGAGGCTTATGCAATAGGAAGATTGTTGTATAAAGGAGAAGAATTGATGTATCATTCTGGAACAATTGCCACTGATTCTAAATTCTTCCTTGCTAGATCACCCACAAACAACATTGACCAACTTTCTGAGTTTGAAGAAGAAGCTCCTCTGTTCAGCTCAATTACCACTAACTATAAAGTTTTTTCAACAACATCGAATCCAAGCATTTCCACAAGCACGAAGACACTCACTATCTCAACCTCATCCTCTGTCATGACTACTGACATCACATCTTCTACCAATCCTTTGTTCACAAGATATGTCGCATTGTGGAACCAAGACCACTTCCAGACTGTCCAGAGCAACTCATCAGTGAAATTGAATATCACTTGGGCCTGAGCTCAATCAGCAAACTACACTTCCATCAGTTTCAGTCTGGCCCAAACTGGTTCCAATGCTATTCCTGAGTGGGTAAAGCTGGATGCGGACAATCAAGAGTTACAACTTAATACCACTCCAAAGTTGGGTACCAAAGAAGTCTTCTTCTTTTCTCTTCAAATCTCCTTCAACAGTGAAGTGCATTATAAGAAGTTTGAAATCACTGTAGAAGAGTGATCTATTCAGAACTGCCAGCTATGAACACTGAACAACCCCAGTTTTTGAGAATCCTGATCAGATGATTATCAAAGCTCTGATGGGCAGAAATCTTGTTCCAAAATAGGTGCAGTGGCTAGAACAACAGAAACAGCTACTGCTTTGGTGACATTGAGTGTCATACTTGCAAGTGCATCATCTCTACTATCATTATCATCTATCAATTCAATCTTTAGTGTCATGAACAGTCTGCAACTTGCAATGTTGCTGCCTCTGGTTCCTGACTACTTTTCACTCAAAGTGTTAGATTTCTTGAGTGGAATGGGGTTCACAATGCTCTCATTCGACTTCATCAAGTTTAAGGATCTTCCATTTGTGGAAGATCTTACAGATTGGGTGTCATACCCCCAGTCCGATGAGTACTTGAACAGCATTGGAATGAGGTCTGGGAGTTCAGTTGTCAATTATTTATCACTGGTGGTCATTCTTATTCTTGTTGGAATCATTAATTTTTGAATTTTTCTGTGCAAGATATGAACAGAGAACTCAAAACACAGAAGATGTAAGAAATTTTTCAATAAGTTGTTCAAGATGCTAACTTTTAATATCTATATTAGAATATTCATGCAGGCTTTTGTATTTACAACTCTCTCCATATTCTCTGAACTTTATAATCTAAATCTTGCTACAACTGTGACAAAAATATCCTTGGGTTTGTGAGTAATTTTTGCTATATGCACAAGTGTGCTGTTTATCTTGTCATTTATAATGTACTGAGCATCATTTCCTCAGCTTGATAAAGACAAGTATTGGACATGAATCGAATACTTTAATGGAATCAAGCCAACTAAATGCTCCAAACTCTATTCTAGTCTGTTTATGCTGGTGAGATTATTGATGACGTCATTACTTATATTTGGCCAAACTACCCGTCCATATGAAAAAGCCATCTACTTTTACTTGCTAAACATTGCTTACTGAATTTACTTGATAATTGTCAGACCATTTGAGAATCCTCAGGACAATATCATTGAGATCATTAACCAGACACTGTTTTGCTGTCTAGCAGTACCGCTATCTTGGCTTAATACGAAACAAGCCTGGACTCCGTTCTATGAAAGCTATTACACAACAATATTAATGACATCTCCAGCTATTGGAAGCTTAATATGCCTTGGTTTCTTGATTAAATCAATAGTGGTATATATAAAAAACAGGAAGGCCAAGAAGAAAAAGCAAAATGTAGCTCCCAAAGAACGCTCTCCTTCCCAAAGACCACCCCGGAACCAAGAATATCCTCGACCAAGACCCTCCCCTTTCATCAACAACCAGTCCTTGAGCATGAGCAGAAGCAATGCTCCAATTGCACCTCCTCCCGCTACTCAAAGAAGACCTTATGAAAGATCTCCTCGCAGTAGAATTCCAATGAGAAGGAAACTGAATAATCACAAATAATTACTTTAATAATATCTCAGTTGTGGTTTCACCCCCTGGGGTTTTGGGGTTTTGGGGTTTTGGGGG